AAATAAAAATTTTGAAAAATGGGTTGGAGAACTTACCAATGTAAAATATTTTCCAATGTTGGGCTATTCCTTCTTACAGAACTATTCAAGCCTAGTCAAATTATGAGGGGACCACTGATGGACTGCAACCTTCAAGTCATTCCACAGCTTTTCAATTTGATTAAGGTCAGGGCTCTGAGGCCTCTCGAGGACATTTACTTTTTTGTTATTTAGGAACTCCACTGTTGCACTGGCTGTGTCTTTTGGGTTGTCTGTAAAACGTCTCAATCATTTACAGAATACTATGTTTTGCTCATCTCAGGATTGGTTACAACCAGTCAAAACAGCAGCAAGTAGCCTGAACTGAGCACGAATGGCCCTTTATGTTAGAAAAAAAGATTTTATGATTAAACCCTTTGATTTAAAAAAATGCATGTAACAGTACACAGCCTTCTAAGTTCTAACATTTCTTCAGTTATAAGCAAGTAATTGACACCAACACATACAGTATACAGTATAAATATGTGTGGGTGTTAAATACCCTGATCAAAGAAAATTACAAAAAACTGTTGTGACAAAAATTAAGCAAAAATGTTAATTAATAATAATTAGGCCATTTTGAGTGAAATCAATTTCGAGTTGACCTCAACCCTTTTGGTTATAATGAAAATTGCCATACAGCTCTGCCCATGGAAGAAATGGTTAGACTGTAATTTCTGAGCGACAAGCCATTCTGGGTCACACTGACCTATTTTGAAGCCTCATAAGGCCTAAACTCCATTTGTGTTTTTTCCCAAATAAACATCAAAATAGTAGGCTATTCTCATTTCTGAATATTCCTTTTTATGTTCTGAGTTTCAGGGATTTACTATTTACTTGATAGAATCCTGAAAACTGTGCTATTATAAAACATTATACAACTAAAATGTCATGTTGACTATTTCCTAGGAATGTATTTCCATGTAGGTGAACCTCTGGAAAAATAGAGAGGAAATAATTAAACTCACCTATATAGAAATTATATCCTAAGAAACAGTCAATGTGGATATAAAAAGGATGGGTATACACAGAGCATGTGGTATATAGTTACTGTCTAATTTGTTTAAAATAAAGTTTTTTTAACAAGAAACAACAGTAACGGATACATACAGAGCACATAGTAAGGTGTATTTAGATTTTCAGAATTCTTTTGATAAAAGTTCTTCAAACAATTTCTTCTCAGAATGTATTCAAGGCAACACGAGTGTTTAAACTGAAAATTAATGGTTGAACAGAAAACAGAAAATACAGTGCCGCAGTACCACAGGACTCTTCTAAATTTATATCTATGATATAGATTCTGGTACAGGTAAAAAAAACTATTCATGTCTCTAGATTATACCAAAGTAGTGGGATAAGCAAATACTGAAGAAGCAAATTAAATGTAAACATATAATGCATGCAATACTGCATATATAGATAAGACATATAGATAAGGAGCAGCTCCCAAATGGGGATGTGTCCAGCCATGCCTAGATATCAAGATCAATGGCCATTGCTGGCGCCTATCTGTCTGTGAGATTCTTAAGAACATCTGGATTGCAGTCCAAGATGTCAGAGGCCATTGTTACTCATCTCTCGCCTTGACCAACCAATCAGGAACCTGCAGGGCGTGGTAACCCCACATGGGTCTCAAATGCCTCACCTGTCTTTGTCCTGGATGAAAATACACTGCAGAGCTCAGAACTTCTCCGGCCATTTTCACATGAGACAATTGTGATGGACAGTGTTGTCTGTACAGGGACTGGAACCTTGTTTCAGCAAATCGTCGGCCCGGGGAATCCCCGTACAGATGCAGCCATTCAAAATACACAGTACAAACCCGCGGTACGGGAAAGCCACCGCAAGGCACCGTGGTAAGTGATTGGCTGGCCAAAATGACCGACAGGGGCACTCGTGGTGCATTGGTCGGTAGTGAAAAAATATTTAATCATTTTTTCAAAGAAATGTCACAGTACACGAATATAATCATATCATTATTAATTTCTTTAGATATGCGATTCCATATTATATTAGCAGAAAAGCTTAAAACAACCACTTTTTTACACGTTATTTCATATGTTAGTTAAAGACTTCGAAGCTTAAAATGTTTAGGAAGAAATTGAATACCGGTGTGTATTTTTTCTTTAAAGTACTGATTCCTGGAATCTGACTGGCTGACACCCTTCTGAAGTGGCTCCATAATATCTAGTATACGGAAAAGAAAGCTTTGATTTTATGAAAAATCAATTATGAAATTATGAAACGCTCTGTTAAAAGCAAGGAAGTTTTTATGTCCGTTGCAGTAAAAGAAAACGCCTGACAAAGTAGGACTTGGACAGATTCCAAGTGCTTGTACAAATATGCTAAAGAAATTAGCAAAAAAAGTAATTCCTTTATCGTATTGGCTAGCTAATGTCCTGTTTGTCAAAGAAAAAACTAAAAGTATTTTCGTTTAAAATGATGGTTAGAAAGAATGTGGACCAGCGTAATACTTTGAGTTTACAGCTTGTCCAAAGTCATTCATTATTAATACTATTAGTAATATCTTCGGTAAAGGCTTTGATGCATAAATATTTCTGATAAAGGTAGGTTGTGTACTTTTGTCCAAATGAGCAATCTTGCTTTCATAAAATATACCAACTTTTTAATGACTGATGATTAACATGCTGTAATACACAGTTTAAATTTAAAAGCTCAAATGCTGTACATGAGAGGTTAAGCTTTATTGGCTCCTCCTGGCGGTTTTACAAGGTGATATTTCTGGCATGACGTCAAATGATGCGATATACCGCGTGATACTGCGTTTTGATGAGACACGCCCACCGGGGTATACCGCGAAACCGGGGTATACCCCACCCATTTTGAATGGCTGCATCTGTATGTAAGAATTAAATTTGTTAGCCGCCAACGCGGACACTTTGCTTGATGACCAAAGTATACGTTTGGACTATTGTCAACAATCTGAATAGGTTTTATTCAGCACTAGCTCTACGCAGGAAGCAAACCAAGTTTCTTCCCCCAAAAGAGTGACTTGAGGTGGTCACCCTCTGTGCATAGAGACTTTTTAGCTGGACTACTAGTAGGTCCCCGAGAGAGACACCGTCTTGCATCACTGAGAAATCTCTCCCCTTTATTTTTTTTTCTGCAACTCTGAACTGCACTAGGACTAGCACCAACTCAACATCGCGCCAATTGGATGCTGCCGCAACAGAGCTGCGAGCTGGTCTATTGTGTCTGTGCCCTGGGAATCACGAATCCATATCTGGATAAGTAACCCAATATTCTACATTTCTCAACAAGGGTTAATATCAATTTAATTCGAATGAGTAACGCATTGACTTATGAGTAGCTAATGTAGAATTCATATTCATGAGACTGATTAACGAAACTGTATAGCTGAATGGTATACTGAATGCATATTCCTTGTTTGTATCTCTTCGTGTTTTGCATCTCTTCATGATTATATACCTTGCATTCTGATAACCCTCAGAGTAAGATCTGCCATCTGTATCCAGGATGACTTTTATAAGTTTTATATGCACAGTTCATGTATTAATAAATGTATCTCGTGTACTGAATCCATGTGTGTGCGCTGCTGACGATTAATAGCCAAAAGAGTACCCTCTTGGTTTACTGCTAAAATTAATAAGTTGTCCCACTAAATTCACATAAATCCTACAGCTGAATGGCCTCCTCTCTTTTACAATTAATAATAATCATTGCTGACACTCAAATCAAAGCGCTTTACAGGTAATGGGGACTCCCCTCCACCACTATCAACATGCAGCCCCACCTGGATGATGCGACGGCAGCCATAGTGCGCCAGAACGCTCACCACACATCAGCTTTCAGTGGGGAGAAGAGCAGAGTAATGAAGCCAATTCATAGATGGGGATTATTAGGAGGCCGAGATTGGTAAGGGCCAATTGGCCAGGACGCCGGGGTTACACCCCTACACGTTTTGAAAAATGCCCTGGGATTTTTAATGACCACAGAGAGTCAGGACCTCGGTTTTACATCTCATCCGAAGGACGGCGCCTGCTTATTTTCCACACTTGACAAAAGCTGATAAATACTTTAATCTTTGGAATTGTATTTCGTTAACTGGTCTATATACTGTAATTACATACGGTGAACCATTACTATTTATTGAGGGATATACAAAAACTAAAAGGTTATCTCAGTTTTAGAGATAAATGCTGCTGTATCAGAGACATTTCAGTAGTGCACAGGTCATCTGAATTAACACATACCCAACATTTGTACAAAGCATAACATGGGCTAAATAGAAGAGTTTTACATTTTCATCTAGTGCCTGAAAAGGTTTTTACAACCATCAATACCTTTCTGACCAGTTCAAAAGCTGATGTGAGCTGTTGTCACCGATATGAGTATGGAAGAATATTAGGTCTTAAATTTATAAACTTTTTCTGCATAGTATTAAGCTAGTTGTATTGTAACAGCATGGGAAAACAACCAAGCAGAATGCTTCACAATGCATAACAGCAAATTTTTCCTTAGGAATAAGATGCATATGGCACATTAAAATCCTGAATGAGCATGATTAAATAATCCGGAAACATAACATTCCCTTTGTAAACTTTTATGTTGTATTGCAAAACAACATCTGGCCATAATAGAAGAAGAAAGTCAATTGCATTAATGAACGTATAGTATATACAGTATGTTACAATATATACAACAGAACTCTGTGCTTTTCCTAAAATATAACTGCAATATTTTGGTTACATTTGTCTCCGAAATCAGACAAAAGAAAAAATTAAAATACAGCAAAAAATGTTATGATGTCCAGTTTAGTTTTCCTTGCTTGACTTATTGAAACTTAACCATTAACTGAAACTGATGTCAAGTTGAAGAGCAAGCTTGTGGTATGATGACCACAGAAACTATCAACAAATAAAATTATCTACTTTGTAAAAAAAAATCACATTTAACAGAATTAAAGAAATAATAACTGACAATAGAAAAACATTACCAACCTGGTGGCATGACAGTTTGTGTCAGCCTGGATGCTGCGGTTGGCGCAATAGTGTTACAGCGGATGTTGTATTTCTTCCCCTCAATAGCCAGTGTGTTCGAAAGCCCCACAAGGCCCAGCTTTGCTGCACTGTAGTTTGCTTGACCAAAATTTCCATATATTCCAGCAGCAGAGGAAGTCATAATAATTCTAAACACAGAAAAGAAGAAAAATAATAGAATCTAGATGTTTTCTTCTGTTATAGCCCTCGAATTATTGATTTGACATTAAAATATTTTCAATACATTTATCACATTATCTATATGCACGATCGATATTTCAAAATATAAAGTTATATAATAAGTATTTGTTTTGAACTTGAACTTTATTACCATATGTAACCGGTACTGGTACAATGGAATTCTTACTTACAGAAAGTCTCTCGATTGTAAAACAAGTGTAAAAAACAAAACAAAGTGCAACAGTGCATCAAGACAATATACAAACAAACAGTAGACAATGTACAAGTAAACATGTAGACAGTTTGAATGTAAACAATACAGACGTTTTACTACTGAAACCAGTATAATACTGTTTTATTATTTGCTGGAGACACCATTATCAGATGATTGTACGTATGGCTAACAAAGTGTTAAATTCTAGTAGTGTGTGTGAACGGAGGTCATATACAGTAGTTGCATATCATGTTTGAATAAGTTTAAAAATGCCTTTAAATTTATATCCATAAGTTGACTTTGCTAACTGAGTCTTTTTAAAAATGTTCTTTTAAAAAGTGGTCTACGATTGTTAAATAATCAAATTAATTAGAACACTTAGGTAGCAATCACTTCATGAGTATTTAAGTATAAAAGCCTAGGGCTAAATTTAAGCTCTGTAGATGCTGTGTGTGGTTGTTACCAATTACAAACCAACTGTGTAAAAGAATCCCTCTTCCCCTCTTAGCGGAGAAAGATTATTTTAACTTAGCAAACATTAGTCTAGCACATCCTTGCATTTGTATTTAATAATTTAATCAGTCTTTCGACAAACACTAAGCTAATCATTTCACACACTAACACAACTTGTTTCCAACTGTTGGTTTAAATTAAAATTTGAAATGAATTTGTTCTCTAGAACAAAATTACCTTCCAAACATCTGTTTTTTCATGTGCTCCCATGCAGCTCTAGTAACCAGGAAAGAACCTCTTAAGTGTACTCTGTGAATCAAATCTGAAAATGAAGGAAACCCTTTAGAGATCAAGTCAATCAAGGGAACACCAAAGACAATCAGCAGGTTGTGTAAAGAAAATTCATAACTTTTAAAAACAGCATTTCCAAATCATATTAAAACCAGGTATATTTTCAGAGATTTTCCTTCATTCACATTTTATGACAACATTTTAACACTGCATAAAAGTTAACATCATTACACACACAACTTTGAGGTCAAACACATCCATAAGGACATTTCCTTACAACATAAAAACAACATAAATTAATGACAATCCCCTCCTTAAATTACTTACAAAGCAAGTACGACAGAAACCGTAAGATGTACCATCAACATCAGAAAATGGCATAACTATGTTTGAAACTGGCCATATTATCAAATACAAACAGTGTGTTGCCAGTTCTCAGGTTTTGTGAACCTTGATCAACTGCACCAGGAGTTACAAAAATATCAGCAGATAATTCTGGAACAAACAAAAATGATTAATATTCAAGGTCAAATTCTGAACTGAAGTACAAACTGTAACAAAAGCTATAATCTTAGAAATAATAGAAAATATGTATTACTTGGAACATTATTACCAGTGGTTGTTTATTACACATTAGTTATCTTTATGGCCAAATGTGGGTTTTTAAAAGGATTCTGTTCATTATTTGATGTTTCAATGAGAACATTAGGACTTAGGGCATTTTTCTGTATTGACGGTTCACACATCCAATAGGGGAATAAGACACGTTGCATCTGGTTTTGAAAGTTTCATTACAGGCCATTTACTATTTCTCATGTTCTGAAAAAAGAATTTAATCTAAAGAACTGAACATCATTGATTGTTCTGTGTCTCCATCCATGGATTGAATCATTTCACATACAAGTGTACACAGCATAATAAGAATGTGAAAATACCAAATAAATAAAAAATCTACAGTATATAGGATGTATATGCACATATACCTTAAAACACAAAGAGTCTGAATTTTGATTCTGTGTGCACAATGTTTTATACAATCTCAAAAAAACACATTACAGGATATGTTAAATGCTAATTTATAGTTTTTTTTGTTAATCAGGACTCCCTTTTTCTGATTGCTCCACCTCCCATTTGCATTGATTGCTACAGATAATCCTGGCACTTTTTTTTGGCCATTCAGTAAGAATTTTGGCTGGGTATATCTTTTTAATACCTTTCTCAAAGTATTCCAATGGGACTAAGGTTAAGTAACAAAGGAGCCCAGGACATTAACTGTAAATTCCACCACCCTCCTTTCCGCTAGACAGAGAATGGTGAAAATGTTGCACGGTAGGTATGATTTACAAAAACAAAATATTGATCTATAAACCATCTTCCTAAAGATACAGTATAAAAATATTAGATCAATCATAACATGATTCTACCATGTAACGACAGAAGGCACACACACAAAGTGTTCTGTCTTAATAAAAACAAAAGTTAGACAGGAACAGATCTTTGTCCTTTGTTTAACATTTCTAAGAATTCATTTAACTTTGCCAACTTAAAAAAAAAATGAACATGGCTTAAAAGCATTGCTTTTAAGCTTCACATGAGCCTCAAAGCTGAGAAAGCAGAATTCCCTGACCACACTGTCCTGTCATGAAAACTGACAAACTTATAAGGATGGGTTTCCCTTCAATTGTTTTTTTTTTTCTTGTGGGACATCTTCTAGCATGAATGGTTATTGCTCATGCATTTTTCAAGACTGTAAAGCTGGAAGACAGCTGATAGGGAAATTACCGTTTATCCCCTCGAACTTTAGCCAGCTTGCCAATATTCTACAGTCCAGAAAGAACAAAAAAACGACATAGCTAGGGGTATATATTAAGCAAGTGGTGCTCTCTGTCTTTTTTTTGTAGGATTCCCTGCTCTTATTTACATACAGTATGAAGTTCCATACTGCCATCTAGTGCAACCTATACCTTTGACTGAATATACATATGTTATAGAAATGGAAGATTGAGTGCATTTGCAAACAAGAGGCAGAAGATTCCAGCTCATCCCAAAAGTGAAATACACACAAATATTAAAAAATGCCATAAATATGAGGCTTCACCAGTTATTGGAACATACAGTGTAGTATCCTTTACCTGGGGCAAGTTCATGGTTTATCCTTCTAAGGTGGTGAAAGTTTCAAAGTGTAATTTCTTTGTTACATATCTCATAAAATATCAGTTTTCCTTTACAGAAAGTGTACAGTATATGTACTACAAGACAAAGATCTTTGGTGTTTGTATTATTTTTTATAAGTAGTTGCGTTTGTTCCAATTGCTTCTCTAGCTCCTGTCTGTAAGTCTTATTACTGTTGTCCATGTTTAACATGCACAAAGTACAAGGTATATTACTTTGATTTAAAAAATAGTCTATATCTAGTGGTTATACAACAGAGAATACGAATAGACTAAACCCTGAGGCAATATGTTTCCCCTTTGTTCTCTATTGTGATAACCTTCAATGCTATAATGGGTACATAGGCTTCGGGGCTTTTAATGCACTGATGTAATTAGATTTTAGCTGTCATGATATAATAATCAAACACCTAACTTTAGGCAATGGTATTCTTAGAGCCAATGTTAGTTTCAAATGTTGTTTAATGTTCTACATATAATAAATAGAAAGCCCTTCACAGTTTTTTACAGATATTTAATAGACATTCAATAACTGCATTGAAATTACCTACTACTATTGCAACTAAGTTGTTTTAAAGAAAGTTAAATTCAAATACTGCAATAAAGAAAAACAATGTGCATTTTGTACATGTACAATAAATATTTCCAAAACATATATATATATATCAAACCGTAACATAGGGATAATAAAAGTGCCATTCCTGCCCATTTTTCCATAATTATTATGAGAAACTTTTTTTATATATTTTTTATACATTTATAAAAAATATAGCTATTCTACAAATTCTGTTCTTCGTCCGTAAAGAACTGTATTGTCTTTGAGGAATTACAAATGAAACAAAATACATTTATGTTAATCCAGTGTCCTAATTAACAAACAGGGTAATTTTAATTTAATACACTAAAGCTCACCCCAGTCTACATCACTGGTTCTGGCAAATGAGCGATCTCGCAATATCCTAAAAAAAAAGAAAGAATAAGAAAGTTAATTGTATATAAGCCCGGGGGTATTCACCTGCTTTCATTTTATTTATTAACTGTGCTCAATTAGTTTGGGCGAGCAAGATAAAATAAGGATTCATGAATTTCTTAACTTTCCTGTGCAGCATATTAATTGTGCATTTTCAAAAGAGAATACAGTCTGTCGGTGTAATATTATGTATATTTAAGATAAATAGATAAACAAAAAAACAGTTTCACTAGACAACTGTCAAGTGCAAAAATCAAGAAAATAAAACACATGTAGTACAGAAGGAGTATTTTTTTTAACAAATGTTTTTTGTACTGCTCCAGGAAAGTACAATTTACATGTGACTATTTAACATTTGTTTAATTAAATCACCCAGCAAAACCATTATAAGGTGAATTTCCCTAAGCGTTGAACTGACGAGCATACCAGTCATAGTACTGAAGAAATTAGTCATTCTACAGATGTCGCCGGGTACGTTATGGACTTACATTTAATCATTCGAATAGGCACTAATACAGTATGTCAGGCTGTCACCCTCTATTATTTTACAATGGTGTATTTTGTCTTCTGAGGGGAAAATACCATTTTTCTCTGTATGTTTATATTGTACAGATCCGATTAACACAGAAGAATATACATGAATAGATCAGACAGGGATGACTTAACAGAAGTGTATTTGTATTTTGTGACCTACATTGTAACTTTTTCTCCTCTATAAAGTTATTACTTATTTTAAAAAGAGAGTGCAGAATACCAATGAAATAACACAATTAAGGGTTAAGTGCACTAAAACAACAGGACCAATGACATTGATTCTATATGTCTGATGTTAACGCTTAAAGACAGCTTATATTTAATCATATTTAACTGTGCCTACTGTTAATTGATAACTTAAAATGTCGATAAACATAAAATATAAGATGATTTTGTGTGTTGCATACTAATTATACCAACATAGTTTGTGGAATAGCCAATTTACATACATACATTTTAGCCAATACAGGCTAGAAAACAACAAGGGCACACAGAAAGCTCATATAAACTTCTTGTTTAGTGGCTTCAAAATGTATAATTAGGCCAAGTTGGGGGATTTTAAAGAGTCCTCTGCAACTATTCACAAAGAGGAATCTTTACCTAAAGATATGGCCTAAGTGTTCTCCTGGGGCGAGCTATACATAGGCAGGATAACAAGTTAAACAGGCAGATATCTTATATTTGAAGAAAGATAACCTCAGATACAGTCTCATTATCCTGTCTAGAGAAACAGTTCTCATAATAGTCTAGTAGTTTTAGAGAGCAGACTGCCCCATGGAGGATTTTGTTGTTCACAAGCCCTCATTACCTACCTGAAACCGCTGTGTCTTTTAGCTTGCAGTAATGTAATGGGACCAGTGTGGGTTGATTTAGATTGTAGAAGTCCTTTGTACGTAACTTGTAAATAGTCATTTACGTGTGTATGTGTCAGCATGTAATGAAGTATTGTAGGTATTTTTTTCTTTTACATTAGTGCTTTGTCATTGCTCTGCCATTTCACTGTGACGGAGAAACAAAAATAACCCCCTGATCCGAATACATTTCTGACTACAGGGAGTGTTTTATCCAGTATTTTAAATTGGTAGAAGATATTTTTTTTTACCTTTACATCAAAACAGGCAGCTCCCTAATAACATGGTAACGTTTAAATATTTTCTAATAAATATAAACACATCAAGTGATGTGCTACACTGCATTTAAAATCACAGCTTTGCACGATTTTTCAAATTATTACCTTATAGCATTTAAAAGAAAGACACACGTTGTTTTTTCTCATCGTGTAAAACAACAAAGCAAATATTTACCACATAAATTATACATTTATGGTATACTAAAAACTCTCTTAAAATCCTCCTTTTTAAACATGTATTATTGCATTCAGCTTTTGCTGTAAAATAAACAATTATTTTTGATAATTATGAACATTAGAAAGTTTCTAATGACTACATATTTTTCAGCCTTGAACAAATCTAAAAACACTTAAAGCACCATCAATCCCATCCCATTTTTTGTGTCATATTGCGATTCACACAACAGACACTAGTACTGTTGGATATGTCATCTATTTTTGTTTTAAATAGCTGTTTTGCTTTTTTCTTGCCCTCTGTTCCTAGATGTTCTGTGTGCTGGTGTTTCACTCTTCCCTCTTTGATTTTACCCACCACAATCAAGTACTCTGGACTCAGTAGTGGGATGGGCTCTATCTTACGACATGATTGAGTTTTCACTCCCTCTTTTTCTGGCATTTTCTAATAGTGACATAACATTGCATGAAAGGGCCAGGGGCCTTCCCCAGCCACAAATCTGGGACTACCGTCACTAAAACAGAGCCATTTGTCCTTGGAGGGTCCATTCTACGCAAAACGTATATGAAAAAGTAACACTAGTGATCATGACAGGATACTTAAGTATCTCATCTCAAAATGAACAGATACATTGTAAATGCATATTAGTGTTTTTTACAATTTATGGCTTCTACAAAAATGCCAAAACTCCAAGAAAGGCAAACAAAATATATTAAGAAATGTGTCAATACTACTAAATATATATGTACTTGACACTCCTAAAGAAGGATCTACAGCCAAAATATTGTTTCTTTTTTCTTTCAGCATGGAATCAACATGAACCTCTTCCTATGCAGCCCATGCGTTCTGACACAGCAAACCTGAGAACTTCTTTACATTATACTTTTTCAGTAAATTTACAAGGATTTCAGTGCCTATGTGCACCAACAATGTCCGAACAAATAATGATTGAACACAAATAAAGAAATAAAGCTAGCAAAGGAAATGTGGAAACAGGAGTAACGTCAAACACTCGTTAAAAGCCTGACTAAACAGCTTAGTCATTAGTCTAGATTTTAAAACTGTGAAAGAGTTTACATTCTTCAGATTGACAGGGTGTGAGCCCCAGATCTGGGGAGCAAGGCAAGGGAGTAATGAAAGAAGCTACGTATTGCTGGATTTGGTGTGTAAGTTAAGAGTAAAATTTGGAACTGAATGTGCTGGTGAACCGGGAGCTCGTGAAGAAATGTTAGAATTGGAGTGATGTGGTCACAGAGCCTTGAACACATTTCAAGTCAAGCTGCGTTTTGGAGTGTCTGAAGTTTGTTTAGGGTGTAAGTACAGTGAGCATGGTATAGGCTATGACGGTAATCCAGCCAAGATGTGAAGAAGACAGGATCGGGGTAAAAATGCGAAATAGAAAAAATATTCTGACATTCAATAAATTGTGGCATTTTACTGCTTCCTTCTGATCTTAGATATCTTAGCCAGGACCACAGCAAAGGTGTGAAAATATCTTAAACTAAACTTTTCATACTTGTGAAGTCTGTCAGATTCAGCAGATATATGAACTTACCCAGCATTATTAATCACAATATCTGAAAAACAAGACAAAGAAACAAAGACTGATTAGAAAAGAAAAACTCTGCAATACTTTGAAAAAAAAATCTGAAACTTTTTGTCCCAAATCATATTTCTTAAACTGACATATACAAATTGTCAAACAAATACATTAGGAGTCCTGATGCACCGACAGACTGGAAGACACCTGTGCATATCTGTGAACTACAGCTTAACACTATGTAATGTACTGTATATATTTTTTTGATGAGGAACCACGTTTAATTAGCAGAAGTACCATAAATAGCATACATTGTATTTACAACAAGCTCGACATTTTAAAAATCTAGTTTAGTCTATTAAATTTAAATATTATATCATAGTTAAACACTTTATATCTAGTCATAACATCTCCTGTATAACACATACTAGTATCTAGTATCTTTTTCAAAAGAAGTATAAAATGAAACATTTAAAAAACATTTAGGCATTCACAGCATTTAATAATTAGGCAGCGCATATTTACTGGTGCTGTGCCTGAATGCAAATATTGCCAGACTTGTGTCTCTCTAGAGCATACAGCTGTTGAAGAATGCCAAGTGAGACGCATGGCATCAGAGATATTGTGCAGGCTAAACAAAGTAACAAAATATATTTCTAACTGTGTAATACAAGATAAAAAAAATTACACTGATGATCACATAAAAATAATAGTAAAGCTCAGTAATGGAAACTTTAATGAGAACATAAATGTGTTGCCACTAATTGGGGAAAAGCACTAAATCTGCTGGGTACATACTGTTGATGTATGCCATTTAAGACTAACAAAGTGCAGATGTATGCATAGTATAAAATAAAACTTTAAAAAGCACAGGTGAGGCATGTGGTTTGATGGCTCAGTTATCAATAGGTAGCTGGCAGCACACTGCTAAAGTCATGCAAGTCTGACACTAGAGCAAAATGGGTATGAGGATATAAGTCATTGAAACCAATGTATAATCCGTTTAAAAAGTCAAATTAAAGAACAGTCTACCAGTAAATGCAAAAATGAAAAAATATAATTATTTCCCTGCAATGGACGCATCTCAAGTTTCTGACCTTACAGAAATACTCAAAATGCTTTCCAACAAAACACTAAATATAATCCCAGAATAATCTCCTATCAGGAAGCAGTAGAACTGTAATGTTGATGGAATTAAACCCGTGTGTGGAAGTCTATAAACTAGGCAAAACATCTGTAACAAAGTTCATAGAATAAGATCACACAACAAAAAAAAATAAAATAAGGTGTGCAGCAGGAAATGCAGAAATCCTGCTGAAGAAAAACAACCTGCTGAAAACATATGCGGTCCCAGTGAAGCCTAAAGAAACTTACTTTTAGTTATTTCAAAGGTAATCTTTGTCTGAAAACCCAGACAGGAAGGTTTACATGTGCAGTAGCTTAGCCACACACAGGCTATCGCAGGGGATCAAAGGACAGGTTTTATATTGCTGAGACTCAACAGTGATTTCCAGTGATAAACTAAAACAGGTCACGGTGCATCAGCTTCAACTGCATTTGTGGCTTGTAAAAAAACATCTCAACAGTGGAAATGAGATTTGGCATTTCAGTTGGATATTACAAGATAAAATGAAATTTTTAAGCAATACCAATTCTCCCAAATGCATCCAGTGCTGACTGAACCACTTTATCTCCATTCTCCACTGAATCTGTGAAGGCAAAATAGGATTTTCTTTCAGGTTTGTGCAAGTAAAAGATATCAAAAATACATTAATTTATAATTATTTATTATCCTACAAACAAAACTTCACAGGTATAAACATAATCTTTTGTAACTTTGGAAAGGCTCACAACCATTTTTTGTAATACACAAGAGTCAAAACCAACAATGATATACCGTGACTTTAAGCCTATACATTTTAAATAGCTTTTGCATTTCCATTTTAGCAGTAAAGGTATTGAACAGAAATATGCCCAAGGAAGAATAAAAAGGCATGATGGTTTAATATATGTTTAAAACAGAGGAAAAAACGCAATATTTTAAAATTCAATCTTCAATCTTATTAACTGTAAAAGTCATACAGTGGTATGATAAGAATGCATTATAACATTTTAAATACAGTCTTTACAGCAATACTGGGAACTCAAAGAAATTAACACTGTTTAGATGTGGGTATCCAGGAAATGTCAAAAGAAATAAAAGAAAATTACCATAATTTGCAACAGCTATGCCTCCTTTTGCTCTTATTTCCTCTACTACTTTGTCAGCTGCAGATGAACTTTTGCCCCCTCCCTTAATGTCACCTCCAAGGTCATTCACTAGAAGTGGAAAAGACATGTACATCTTAAAACAGATAATGGCCTGTTCGCTTATCATGCCGATATAGGTTTTGTCAACCTTATCACCTGAGCTTTCAAAGAACAATGCTGCCCCCTTGTGGCTATAAGGGAAATTGTACTTCACAATACCTGACTTAAAAAATTAATATTTACTGTATGGGCAAATTGTCTTGACTTCTAATTTTACTTTACAGAAGCTTAATAACTCGAGAACATTGTTCTGCCATTTTTTGAAAACTGACTTCCGCATTATAGTGGAATCATACCTTCTTCCTACACTCACAGATCCCCATTTGTGTGTTTAATTGTAAATATGTCCAGTAAATATGGGCTCTTCTTCAACAGGAAATGGATATACTTTCACTACCATATCATCAAAAGAAGACAAGACAAAAAATAAAATTCTTTAATTGACCGGAACAGTCAATTTTGAATTAATTCATATATCACTGTAAATATAATGAAAGACTAACTAGTGCATTTATATTTAAGAATGCAGCATAATCTTAAAAGGGTTATTGAGCTATGTCATAAAACATTAAATGCTAATGCCAACCAATCAATTTATTTTGTGTATTGCTTTATGTAGTGTTAACATTTATGGTTATAGCAGAAACATGTTCCACAGACTAAAATTTCCCAAATCGTGGAATACTGCTTCTTCTGAAATGATGTCACTCTCGGATGCACATATCTTCTTAACTCCCCAGTCCCACCCAAATGATAACAACCCTCCATTTCCTGTTGAATATTTCAGAGAGGGTTATTTTGTGGGGCGAGGACTGGAGTTTAAGTTCAACAATTGACAACCTGAAGAAAAATGCTTATTACTGAAATGCGGTGTTTAGTGTTGGAAGAGTGGATGCCTCAACTTCTTTAGTAGTTGGAGAAGACTGATACTTAATGATAACAATGGAGTGCAATATGATAATTTTGCTATTTAAAGATGAAATGATAGAACAGCAACTGATTTTGTGAGTATGTATCTGACATAGGTGGGATTCCCTGATTAATATTAACCTCAATTAACAAAGTTTGCTTCAGAATGGAAATGTAGCCAATAGCAAAAAAAAAAGGACCACCTACAAACAACTACAAACAGCAAAGGTATAAGTTGGAAACGTAAGTTGGTGAATTCGTATTATGTTACGAATTCACAGGACCCTGAAACAATCAAAGGAATGCCAGATTGTAGAGGGATTCATCCATACTTCTGTGAAGGCTTATAAGTAAAAGCTGAACAGACTGACAATGTGACAACGATACCCTCCTCTGTGAGGTCATTCTCCACCAGAACAGGAAAATAATCTACATGAATGTGTTAAATGAAATGCTAAGTATGATCCATCTAAAATGTTTCAATAAAATGCTCCAATTGTCATTTTTATCATAATGGATGCATATGGCCAATGGACTTAATGTAAGTGTATTCTGAGAACATATTAAAGGCTGTATAACTTTATCAGCTTACTTCAGCTTACTATAAACCATTTTCCTGAATGTTTGTCTCTGAAACAACCTAGAAACATCAGGCAGAGGAGAAAGGAACAATAACCTCTCCTTTAAGGACATGTTTCATTTTAATAGGATACAACCCCACAGCACGATGTACTATAAAAATATGCAGAATCTCTCACATGGCATTCATTTCATTTACATTCAAATTGGAATTCATCTGAAAACAATCTGATACAGCTAAATACTGACTCCAGAAATGCAAAAAGCATGTTGCATTGACCTCACATGATGTAGATTTTTCTTTGGATTAAATCCAGACCTACCCACGACACAGGCTCCTCTTTCACCAAAGGCTAATGCATATTCCCTTCCAAGTCCTATGGGACAAAAACAAATCATTAACTGTTTGCCTTGCAGAAATGTCTGAACTAAAAAGTTAAGAAAATACAGTATGAAAATTAACTCCCATCAATTCCATGCAGTAATACATATAGTATGTTAAAAGTACCTACTGCACACTGACATTTCAAATGAAGTTTTGTGTTCTGGTTTCAATCACTGCTGTCAGATTAATATTATATTTAGGAAAATGTTCCAAGTCAATATATCAAGCCAGTAAGCTTCTAACCATCCAATCCTTATAACCAACTGCTTTACAGCACAAACTGTAAGAAATACTGAACCAAATTCTTAATCAAGTACGCCTTTAGGAGAATAAACAGGTTCAAAGCTTTTTATATATCAAAATAATGCAATTCTACATGATCATCCGCCATGTCCTTTGCAAGTACAGTATAACTTGTTCCAGCTTCTTTGCACTGACACCCTGTCAATTTCATGAAAATATTCAAATTATTGATGCTCACTCATTAAGGTTTGGAATAGTTGGAAAAGGCCCCTAACTATCTTAGTAAATAATCCTCTTTATAAACTGACATGTCCTTTGAGCTTTTTGGACTCTGACTTTATTTCATCAGCAGCTTTCAAAAGGCAGCTGAAGGAATTATGTGTTATGGCTCAAACAACACTACTAACAGTTCAGCAAGAGAAGCAGGTACTGTACAGTAAGTCTGGTATCTTCTTGATTCACTCCTCCAGCCCATCCTATGGGACTGAGGTCCATACCCTGAGGATGTTAGGCTCTGAGGTTTATTACCATGTAAGTCTATTCAATGTTTCCTGCAGATTTCCCTAATTGGTCTTTAACAGCTGCAATGCTTTCATTCTGGAGTCTACTTCATAGCACAGATTGAGACTGTGTGGTGTGAGGAAGTCAACCCACCTGTACAGATTTCAGTGTGTGTTAATTCCCAGACTTTTGAGAATATAAATGTGTTTTGTTTTTCTGTTCAAATGCTTCTTTAGAGAGCATTTTTGTTGAGTACCAGCTTTGTGGCAGTGACAGAAAATACTTTCAAAAGCCCTGTTGAATAAATTCATCTGGCCAAAGTCCACAAGGCATAAAAGTAAAAGAATGCTCTTTTAGACCATTTGCACACAATATTATTCTGTAACTTTTCCGTTATTCCTTCTCCTTTCCTCTTCTATTGAGGACAAATAGTAAAACGTTTATAGTTTTACAAATAAAAAACATGTAATCAAGTAGTTTTGAGTACTTGATTACATGTCATTTATGTTATGTTATTACATGTTACTGATATTGCTATTGTGTAACTGTCTATTGTCTTATCTTCTGTCCTATTTATATACTGCACCTGAGTGACTACTGAGAAACACTTTTCATTATACTATGCACCTTTGTGAGTTTAATGACAATAAAGTTGAATTGAATTAGATAGTAAATCTAAGAAGCATTAAGTGTCATTAAGTTTCCTCGTGTTCGAGAAGTCTAGACCATTAGCTGATAAATCTTAAATTAATCCACAGTGTTTTTGCAGCTCCTTACCGACACTGAGACCATTTCTCATGATCCCCTTCGCCATAGATGCTCCATAGGACTGGTTTGCTCGGATCCTAAGTGTGCAGAGCTGGGCACCGATAACCATTGTGCTGTGTATTATGCAAGTTTTGCACTTTCACACAGTAACTGCAGTTCACCCAAGCGCCCTTTGTTCAGTATACTGAAATGCTCACCAGTTTAAGGACGGATCATCTTGAACGATCTCTTATTAATTTCCGTATGTAAATTACGTTTTTAACTAAAATCGCTAATTGCAAAAAAGAATAACCGAATAGAAGTTCGCAGTCCACAGCCCGAGGGCAGATAAAGATATTCACCTGCTAAGCTAGCAGATATATTTAACATTAGACTTCAAAGGTATCTGTAGAACTACCGTAAAACTATGTTTCATTTAAAGGTTTATTATAACTGTTTCTAAACAAAGCATTTTTTTTTTCTGATATGAGCACACTAATTTCTAATTTAGTAGTTTACCAACCTCCGAGCCTTCATTTTACAGTGCAACGTATAGGCCGCTAAGTACTAAGAATAACCACTATCTTTTTTGCGTAGCTTATTTACCTCCTCCAGCTCCTGTAACCAGAACCACCTTTCCATCGAATCTCAAAGACGACATTGTTACCTACACCGAGGTACTTAGCACACTGCCTCTGATGTACTTTTGTTCCGTCTTTCACAATCCAGGAAATAGCAAAGCTGAAGGCACACAAAGCATTGCATTTTGGGACCTGTAGTTTTTATGCAGGGAAGGTGATTTTAATCAGATGTGTGCTGAATAAGAGGAATAATGCAGATATGTAGGGGGAAAAAACTGCAGATACTATATCTCTTAGCTGTCATGGGAATATATGGGAATTCCTCTGGAGGAGCTGCATTCTGTTGTGGAAAAATTCCAATCCTCTCTGGTGATGCAGCCAGCAGCTACAGTATATCACCCTGCAACTCACAGCTGGCAACTCACTGAAGCTAGTTAGCAGCAGGTGTGAGCCTAGCAAGTACCTGGATGGGAGAATTCATGGGAAAAACTAAGTTTTCTGCTGGAAGAGGTGTTGGGGCCAATAGGGGGTGCTCACCTCGTGGTCTGTGTGGGTCTTAATGCCCCAGTAGTGATGGGGACACTAAGATATGATAGGATCATTTTATTAGCCATATACAATTTCTTGCATTAGGAATTTGTCTTTTTCACATACCCCAGCTTGCTTTCCATGAGACACACAGGCACACAGACAGGGAGAGAGAAGTTTGGGGTCAGAGCACAGGGTCAGCCATTTATATGGCACCCCTGGAGAAGTTGAGGTTAAGGGCCTTGCTCAGGGGCCCAACGGACTATGATTCCACTGATGGCCTTTAAACCGGCAACCTTCCAGCCACAGGTGCAGATCCTTAGCCACAGTGCCACTGCTCCGCCCCTTTTTTTACTACACTGTAAAAAGGTGTAGTAAAGATGAGATGTAAAACCAAGGTCCTGACTCTCTGTGCCCATTAAAACTGGTGTTTCTCAAAAAGAGTAGGTATGTTACGCTGGTGTCCTGGACACATTTTCAATTGGCCTTTAACAATCATGGCCTCCTAATAATCCCCATCTATGAACTGGCTTCATCACTCTGTTCTCTTCCCCACTGACAGTTGATGTGTGCTGAGTATTCTGGTGCACTACAGCTGCCATCGCATCATCCAGGTGGTGAGGTCCCCATTACCTGTAAAGTGCTTTAAGTGGAGTGTCCAGAAAAGCGCTATATAAGTGTAAGGAATGATTATAACCTGACATGGTGTTGTCATGATCCTCACCAAGATAAGTGGTACTGAAAATGGATGGGTAGTTACAGGATTTTTGGTCATTTTTCTGCCTCATACCTTTACTTTCTTTCACTCTTGTGTGTTGTACGCTGTAATTCAACCTCCTGTGAAACTAATTAAACACAATCCTCTGAATACATAATAGTAGTTGCCTCTCCCCTTGGCAGGGCCTAGGATGAAGAGTCTCTGTGCCTATGCTGGCTATCAGATCTTCTCCTGTTCTCCACTGCCCACAATGGCAGGCTGGAAGAGGGATACATGGAACTCACTCGCTGGTGAAACTGGCAGCTGTGGTCCTGCTTTTTCCCTGGCAATTATATAGCAGGGAGGAGTCCCTCATGCCCTTTCTCTTTCCTCTCTGGACTGCTCTGTCCATGATATCGTGATGCTGCTGTCTCCCTTCCCCAGTGAGGACCTGAAGCCTGTTTTTGGTTTATCAACTATACAATTTTATTTTTCTTAAAAGTTAACAAAGCTCTGTTCCATATTAAACAAGAGAAATAAAGGAAACCTATTAGCATTAATGCTACAATTCAGCTGATAGGTTGTGAAAGATTTCCTTGACTTAGGTGCAGATGGCACTTATCCACTATGGCACCGTGGCACCCACCCTCTGCTAAAATGTTTATAGGGTTTGTATGTCACTTACCTGCACTCCCACTTCTTTCCAGCAGGGTTCACTCTCACCCTGCTTTTTTCTTCACAGCACAGAAGGCTCATCACTTTGCTACAATTAACTTCATTAGGCCAGTGTCTGCGCTGTAATTATCTTGTTAAACATATTTTTCATGACACCCAAGATAGTGTTTCTTTGCTAACTTTTTTCAATTTGAAATATTGTAATGTTGTCTCATGCAATACAGTCGATTTTACAGTAATCGTCTTCAATAAGAGTCTAAAGAAATTGAAAAATTGAAACAGAAGCACTAATATCTTTTATCTGACCAGCACTCAACATGCTCAAATAAATCATAACTTCCAGGTACAGTAGTTTTTTTTAAATTTCTCAAAGATGATTGTTGATGATAATTTTCTCTTGCTTTCAAGTTAAAAATGAATAAAGAATCTGCTCCAAACAAGAAACCTATTAAGAAATGTATAAATAAGCTGGTCATAAATGGCAAATCAATCCAAGTTGCTACTTTAACATTTAATGTTATTAAAACCTTCAATTCAACTTCAGGCTATTTTCCAGCACAGTATTAATGATGTATATTAAAAAGGACTAAGGACTAATAAGAGAAAAAAATGAGACAACATCCAAGATAAACCTTTCTGTATGCACAATATTTATTGATGTTATTAACTTTGAAGGGAAGACATTTAAAAAAACGTTCACAGCAAATTGCCACATAACAGGTCAAACTAAAATTCCTACTTGAACACACCACATTTAATAGCTTGTAACATAAAAATATATGTTTGTTTTCTTTGAAAGCAAAGTATGTGGTTGTACACATTTGAACATTTGGATATATTGCATTTGAGATGAATCAAACTTGGTAAAAAAAAAGCTTGGTTGGCACAGTATTCAACTTCTGGGCTTTTTATTGCAATATACAGTATATTTTCCACATTCAATAGACACATTTCAAGTTTTGGTTCCCGAGTACTTTTAAAGTAGATGCATTTTTTAAAAAACTCTTTCATAAATATATATGTCTGTAAGAATAAAATACAATTTTAACTTATTTGGAATCAAAATTATTTCAACACAGCAGATGTAAAATAACTCACAAGAGACATGTCAAGCAGGCAACCCTGAACTCTGCTGCACAGATAGGTTCATTCATTTTTGGTTCTACCTCATTCTATCAGTCCTTTTAATTAGTGGTCTTCACTCCTGGTCCCAAAGAGCCACAGCCCTGCAGGTGTGTCAGTCAAAGTAACTCCTCAATGAAGCTAAACAAAACTGGAAGACTTTTCCTTTAAACCCATTACATGAATGAAAACCAGACCTGTGACTCTCCAGGACCCAGAGTATCAGTACACTACTATACAGAACCACATATAAGACAGTATGGTACATATACATCCCACCTATTTTCATTTCACTTACTTTGGTTCTTAAGCTTTAAAGTATATCATGTTTTAAAAGAATATTTGCAGGACTTCATGCCCCTTAATATTTCCTAATACCAAGCAATTATTCTAATCCTCCGTCCACTAATTTCGCTTGGTCTGCGCAACATAATAAAAATACAATTTTTCTCCTCAACACAGCACTGCACAGCAAAGTGGCATTTTAGTTTGTATTCAAGAACCCATGCATGAGCATGTATTCTTAGATACATAAATGGTCAATGTTCTTATGCACTGAATATGTTATCATCTTCTGCTAGTGTCCCTTATTTCTTCACATGTCAACCATGTTCCTCGCCAAAGAAAGTTCTCTGGACACGCAACAAGTACTCAGATGTTTCCATCATCTAGCATTTTGTTGATTCCATCACAGAGCTTTTCCAAATGGGGTTTGTAAGGTCCAAAGGGATTGTACAAAGCAGCAAGAAATTCGCAATCTGAAAAGTGATCAAACACATTGTTGACACGTCCATGGGATTTTGTCGTTAGGTGCCGGTTGATAATTTGGTGAAGTAACTCCCTGCATTCATTCAACAATTTGGAGAGGACGTTGCGGTCAAAAGTGAAGTCAACCTGATGGAAACTGATGACAGTCATGGCTAATGTGTGGACTTTTTTCTTCAGCTTTTCCATCAATGCAATCTCCTCTTCATTGAACTGGTTGTTCCTGAACAACACTGCAAGCTTTATGACTATCTTGATGATGTTTTTGGTGATCTTCTCAGCATCCTTCTTGTTCTGTGTGTACTCCTTTGTCACTCGGTAGAGCTCGTCCAGGACCTCACTGGTGACGTCATCTATCAGGATTGTGGCAATAGATTTGGAAGCCATTTTACCCAGAATCTTCTTTTGAGCCTGAACGGCCAAGCTCTTTGAGTTGAAGACATCCGTGGCCACTGAAAGATAAAAAAAAAGGAGTAAATACATGTGCCTTTCATTAATTTCAAATGACATTATGTGATTATCTAATATGCTGTTCAAAACATATTGCACACTAAGCAGGATAAAACAAGAAAAAAATGTTAAAATATTCCCCTTGTTTTGAGGATGTCCTAAATCTCTCCAAAACTGTCCAAATATGTAAATGCAAACCAGAGGCATTTAAAGACATATTTTGTTAGATCGTATGCCATGTTGCTCATATATTGTGAAAAAACATTAAACAAAGGGAATACCAGTTTTTTTTTTATTGAACATACCTTTTCTTTCTAGGAATTTATGAAATAATGAGCTATACATTACAATTAATTTTGCAACTAGACATTCTGGTATATTCAATCACTTTTCATTTTACTTCACAGTAACAACAACTGCAATAATAATGATGATAATGACAATAGCAGCAGGAACATGAACATCTGTAATCTTTTCCACTACTAGGTAAAAAGGTTCCATTCTTTCAGGTGTCTGTCTGGTATTGTGGCATTTTCACTTTAAACCTCTATGTGAACAAAACCCGCTAATGAGAAAAACACTTGCTGTTTCTTGGCCTAATAAGATGAGCAAATATTTAGTCGCTTTTAAATTTATAGACACAAATGTTTGTCTAAAACACTTTAGATTAAATAATCTGTAATATTACATTTATACTAAATTACGTGTGTGGAAAAATTGCAGTTTATTTCCAAAGAATCTCCACCTTAAATGTGTTTAAAGTTTAAGTTTTACAGTCTCAAGGTTAGAGAGAAGCATGCAGGAACCCCATTGTTTGTGTAACCAAAATATTTAGATCATTATTATAGAAAAATAGTTATGTAGTGACACACAGCAGGGGCATGGTTATGGTTATATTCATACCGTAAATATTTTAAAAAATAATCTGCATATTTGTTTTCTAATGTGAAACAATCAAGCATTTTAAACAACTAAAAACAACAAGCACGCTTTAGATAGAAGCATCTACATCTAGTTAAAGGCTTTTGTTATTTATAATCTGCATTGTTTAGGCACAGGATACTGCAGCCTCACCCTGAGAGGGCAGTATTGCATACAATTTTCAGAATTTAGTTCTTCCTCTATTCAATAAAAGCCACATGGACAATGAATACTTTATGCTCTGTCTTTTCATGTTCACAGATTCTTGCACTCCCAGAGTTCAGGAAAGAGAAGAAGCAGCACTTTGACTCCCTGAAAAACGATGGTTTAAAACCCATTGCCCCTCATCTGTGCCTAAAAACCCAAATTCTGAAAATGTTACATTCACAACATAGATTTCAATTATGGATTGGCATAAATAACACAATTTTAGTCTATCATACAACCACGTATTATACAATCTGGAAAGAACATAAACAGGCAAAACATACAACTAACTCAAATGAGACAAAAATCATAAACACAGTTCCAAAGTTAACTGTGTAAGGTTGAAAAAACAATCTTGGGTTGAAAAAATTACTAATCATTAGAACAGATGAAAACTTGTGATATTTTTGTGTCTGCAGTAGAAATTGTTTATATAAAAATATATATTAAAAAAAAACAGAAAACAGAAATATCAGTTTCTGTATAAGATTAGAGGTACAGATGTATAGGTTTAAGATGTACAACAAGGTAAATTGATGACTGATGTTACAGTCCCCATTACATTACACTAGGCCTTAATGCAAGTCACAAAGTCAGAATATATTTCATGTGTAATTTGATAGTACATTTTCTTTCATAAATGGTTCACTTTTCTGAATTTTCTTTTGTGTTTTAGAAAAGTTCACATAGATATGATTGTAAGATAAGGATTGGAGAAATATAAAGCCTTGCATTTCTGTGACATCAGATGTCACATGTAACTTTTTCTACAGGCAAAGCTGAATACTGTATGTCCTCTGTAGGCATCAAACATTGCCTTTGAATCTTTAAAATGGCACACAAGTATGTGGAAAAATAAACAAGTAGTAACCATATTGCTTTTAATAGAGAAGATGATTTGTATAAGTGTTAAAGCCTTTATCATTCCTTCTGGCTTCATAGAGCCATAACAAATGTGTTATTTTTTTCATGAGATTAATGTGAATAAATACAATATATGTTTTATTTTTGCATTCACGCATAACTTGCAAAATGAGTGCTTTATGCATCTTACCAAATACCGCACACTTGTTGTTTGTTAAGCAGTGACCTATTAAGATCATCAAACACTTTGTATTATCGATGCTTTACTAAGCCTTTGCTGCACCATCTTGACTTTTGGCTATTATTGGGGTGTTCTGACTATCCAAACTTATGAATTTTCTGAATGAAATCTGAAATTATTCTTCAACATGTAAAATGAGTGTTCAGTTGGATTTAAATCTGGAGACCGACTTGGCCAGTCTGAAGAACTCCTTAGTTGAACAGTTCATATGTTTTGGGTCATTGTAATGTATGGTAAAGCATCACCCATTAACTAATTTTCTTTTAAAGCAAAGAAACGTATGCATATCCAGGCCATGACATTACCTCCAACATGCTTCATGGATGAGGTGATGTTCTTAAGAGCATCTGCAGTTACTTTCTTTTTCCATACTTTGACATTTTCATCACTTCAGTAAAAGTGATGAAAAAATATTACGGTTCTATTATGCTTCATATTATACTTCTGAGAAGATCTAATCTAGCTTTTTTTCTGCTGTTGATGAAAGGTTTATTCCTTTCTCTAGCCTTTGTAATTCTACTGTCTTCTGCAAACTGTGGCATTTTAATACAGAACTCTCACCCCTGCACTGATAATTGTGTTAATGAAAACCAGCAGGAATATTGATTGTTCAAGATTATGGTCTATAAACACTGCACTAGGTTTAAAGTTCTTTTTTCGAAAATCAGATTCACTAATTAAATAATAGGTTGTTAATTGAATTAACAAACATCGATAGCTTAGGTTAAACACATTTCATTTTCATTGTTCATCATGAGAACCTAGAAATTTAGGGTAATTAATAACTATTTTTTTCACCAAAAGATGGAGTGCAAAAAACAGAAACAGAGTAGGAAGGCTAGGATGTGGTCTAACAGACATGTAGTCTGCAATGAAATCATGACTGCTTAATGCATGGTTCAAGGACAAGGAAGTGAATACCCCATGCACAGTGAGGACCCACGGTAATCAAGGGGTTAAGAATGATCTGGGGTGAAGGAGGGATGCAGAAAGACCCATGAAATGAGGAGAGAAAATCCATGACAAAGTCAAACCTCTTTCACTGAATTCATGTCTTTGTCTATTTGTATAATAAACATTGTTCATTTCAATTAATCTGTATCATGCTTCAACGGTTTTCTCTATCCACAGCTTTCATTATAAAAATGTCATTGGCTGTAGTACATACAATGTGTGAATCACAAACATGAACTAGATGACTTTTATAAAGTTATCACATTTGTCATTCACACATAATATTCTATAATATTGCATATATAAAGATGTAGGTAAACTTGAGGGGATTTCTCCAAGATCCATTTTGCTAATCAGCCAAAAGTCAGTCATTTAAATGTCATCGGGTAGGGGGCAAGATTAAAATAGATTTTTTTTAAGTAAGCACTTCAGTTCTAGTAAAATAAGCATAAAATATTTTAAACACTGTTAAATGAAAATTGGCCTTAAAATCTAAATCTAGTGAAGGAATCATAACCTTTGAATATTTCCTAATAAGTATCATAGTTTTCCCTCTGAATGAAAAATCAGACACAACTGTTCATTTGTCTTCAACAGACACTGTAAAGGGAGTATAAAGAACAAACAGTACTAATCTATTAATATTTCATAGAGATATAATTACCAGACTTCCTCAAACAGAAATCAGACATACAAAGCACCAAAGCTTTGTCTTAACACACTTGTCTAAGCTGTAGGACAAGGAAGTGAATACCCCATGCACAGTGAGGACCTACGGTAATCAAGGGGTTAAGAATGATCTGGGGTGAAGGAGGGATGCAGAAAGACCCATGAAATGAGGAGAGAAAATCCATGACAAAGTCAAACCTCTTTCACTGAATTCATGTCTTTGTCTATTTGTATAATAAACATTATTCTAAAAGTTTTTTTTTCATGTAACTAAAACTTTTAATAATATAGAATCTAAATCTACAAATATATTAATATTTTAGTGAAAGCTAAAAGCATTTCTTTTGGATTTTTTGACAGGCTTTCTGAAAGATTCTGTAGCATTAAAAGTTACTTAAACACATGACACAAAAACATAACTTAAAGCCACTTTAGCATTACTAAGATATTTAGATTATATACTACCTCTGCCTTGTAAAGAATATTTGCATGCACATTTACTTCTCTCTTTAGATCAGTGCTTTTTTTCGGTTTTTGGTTAATTACGTTTTTTCTTTAAAGGACTTCAATATTTTAAAACTCATGAAATCATTAGCTTTATTACCACATTCTCAGTGTGTTCCAATATGTGCCCTATTCTTTGCCTTTCTTTTCTTATTGCACACTTACATATAGTATGGGCAACTATGCAGAGAAAACATTTTATTGCAAAAGTATGTACTGACGATAAATAAGTACATATTTTTATATGAACTGAATGAGAGCTGGTAAGGAATACGTTTACTTCAGACAAACTTTCTTCAGACTGCATTTTTTCCAGTGTAATGAAATATGGTAGTTTTTCTCAAATCCTTCAAATATGAATCACTGACTTTGTATGAACCTGCCTTCCTCACCTACATCTCACATCTGAACTGGACACTGTATGAGCACTGGGAATTTGGCAAGATCAAGTTAACATTTTCTGTATAACAATGACTTATTATTATACTTATTATTTTCACTATCCATACAATAAAATGTCTTCTGTGTGGATAAATTATTTATTCATAATTATTTACAAATAATTTTCTAAAGCCCAAGAAAGGTCAAAACCAAGCAACATATTAATGAAGGATCTATCACATTAGATCACATTCCAACTCA